TGTTTTGTTTTGCGGGTAGCGGTTGGGGTGGGAAGGGTTGAGGGGGTCTTTTTTTTAACGAGGTAAGTTGAAGATCTACCAGGATAATTCTGGTTTAGTTGTTGATGGTCTACTGCCGGACCTGTCAGACAACTTGTGGCGAGGATCAGTTTACATTTATACAGGCTTGGGACAACCATTAAAATGATAATGGACCGTTACTGTTTGGGTGGTTGTAGTTGACATTTTCCTTCTGTATTTATACAAGCGCCGGACTGTCGTTGGCCATATAAAAATAGCTTGGTGACTGAAGTTTGTCAGGGGCGGGGTAAGGAGTGTGGGTGGGGGGTTGTAAGTTTCTCATGAAAATAGTCCTGTTTGATAGGCTACTTGCAGTTGTGATTTTTTTTTTCAATCGTGTCTTTCATCATCATCATCATCCACTGCCAGATATGCGACAGACATGGTTCTCCATTCATTCCTTTGCTTGGATACTCTCAAAAAAGCTACGTTTCCCTGATCTTTCCCTGTTATCCATTTGTTTAGGTTCCCTAGGTATGTTGTTCTGGGCCAACCCCTGCCTCGCTTGCCTTCAATTTTGCCAGTGAGAGCTAGATGTTCAAGAACCTTATGTCAATTCTTGAGTCCCAAAAACTGCATTTGTCATTTACTGATTGTTTTTAATATTGAGGGTCCCACGTGAGCTTCATCAAGCACTACCTCATTTGACTTCTTTTCCTTCCACGATACTCTTATAAGCACTCCAAAGAAACCATATTTCTGCTGCTTCTATTTTATTTTCATCTTTTTATTTTTATTATCTTTAGTGATTGTTCAGCATTCACAGCCATATAGAAGGGTTGACCAAACATATCATTGAGTGATTGTTCAGCATTCACAGCCATATAGAAGGGTTGACCAAACATATCATTTCAGAACTTTCAGTTTGGTGTTCATTGAGATGTTCATATTTTTCAGGATTGGACTCATTTTATTGAAACTAGCCTTAGCCATTGTAATTCTCCATTTTATTTCTGTGGAACATTTGGATTCAGATGTAATCGTATAACCTAGATATTTAAACTGTGGACTTGTTTGATCTTTTCACCTTGGCTAATGAGATTACAACTAGGATCTGCTGCTTTTTTTTAAATTACCATGCATTCTGGTTTTTTTACATTCAACAATAATCCTTTACGTTCACTTTCTGTTACAACAGTATCTAGAAGAATTTGAACGTTCTTTTCTGAGCCTGCTATTGGTTTACTGTGTCATCTGTGTCTTTACCACCACAGAATTCTTCGATCAAAACAACACTGCAAAATGTAACAATCCACCTTCCCACACATCGCAATTGTAAACGCCAACACCTTTGATCTGAATGCCTCTAGTGCTGTTGTTACCGTGGCCAATCAGACGGTGACTTACACTACGCTAGATCGCAGTAGACCCTGGTCGATCGGGCAGGCCATAAAGATTTGGGGTTTGAGAATGCGTTTTCTTTAAAATGGACGCAAAGAGATCTTGTTGTTAAAGCAAAGACAAAAGAAAAAAATACTAATATGCTTCATTATGTTGTCTTCATAAACAAATGTTCTGAGAAGCATGTGTTTATCTGTCTGTCTGTGTGGATGTGCATGTGTGTGTGTGTATGTGTGTGTGTGTGTGTGTGTGTGTGTGTGTGTGTGTGTGTGTGTGTGTGTGTGTGTGTGTGTGTGTGCGTGTGTCTGTGTGTGTGTGTGCATGTGCGTGTGTGTGCGAGTGTGCGTCTTCACATGGCCCTCTCAACTCATCACAGGTTCTGGTGTAGTCTAGTGATGAAGAAGATTGCCTTTCCCAGTTCAGATTTGCAGAATCAGTCTACACAATGGTGAAAAACTGTCTTTGATGATTGTTAAATAATGAGTTCATTTTAAGTAAGAGTTTTATGGCACATCCAAAACAATTAGGTCATATAAATGCCAAACAATAGAGATGTAACAAGAGAGTAACAATAACAAAAAAGGGGGAAAGATAAAGACAAAAGATGTCTGACGGGAAACAAAGAGCAAACCACACCAGAGCACCCGCAAACCACCCACAAACGAAGTGTTCACAAGGCGACCATTATTGATAATAAACTAGCTCATGGTAATAGTATACCTTCCTCAGAATATTTTTTCTTATTACAGCATCCTACAAGGGACTTAAAGTCCTATATTTCAAATGACACTTTACTCAGAGTCTTGTAGGGCTTCAAACCTCTTCCACAGTTTGATAAAAAAAAAGGAACATAATAACAAAATAATGGTCATTTGGAGCAAGACAAACAAAAACAAACAAGCGACAATAAAAGAGAAGGACAGAGTTGATTCAGCCTCTGATAAACTGCTGACATCAACAAAAGCAAGCAACTGACCTCATTGAACTGATCTCCCACCCACTTGGCCACGATGAGGGAAATCATCACAGGTAGACCCAGTGGAACATTGGCTGTAGCCTCCATCAGGATGACTGTCAGACTAATTGTCATACGCACAATACCACCTGAGGCAAATGGATAAAAAAGGGACATGTATATATGTTTTTGTTTTAGTAAGAGTTTTACGGCGCTCACAACTGTATAAGGTCATGTGAGCACATGAAAAAAGTTGGTTCCAATCGCAACAGTTCACTGCACAGTCTGATTCTGGTCAAAACATCTACTTACGTTACTTTTTTACTTTTTCATCCTGTAGCCGTTAAGCGTCGATGGGAGAAGCAGTTTTCTATGGTAGGCCAGCTCTGCAGCTCTTTCAGTAGTGATGTTATGTTTTCTTAGTGTTTCCTTGACACCCTCGATCCACCTTTTGCGTGGCCTTCCTCTTCCTTTATAGCCTGAGTGCTTGGTGTAGTAGGTTCTCAAGGCTGGCTGGTCAGGTGACATGCGTAACAGGTGGCCAAACCATTTTATCCTCTGTCTTTCTATGTAACGCAGGCAGGACTCAGTGCCAATAGCTGTTCTTACTTCTTCATTTCTCTGCCTGTCTTGTCTTGTGATGTTAAGGGTTTTGCGGAGACATTTCATTTCGCATGCGGTGATTTTGCTTTCATGGGTTTTGCTTAAAGTCCTGATCTGGCACTGATAACATAATGTTGGTATGAATATTGAGGTAATAAGCTGTCTCTTTGTGTCCATGGAGATGTTTGGATGAGACTGAAGAGGTGCGAGCTGGTAGGTGACAGCCTTGGCTTTCTAAGTTTGCATTTCTATTTCTGTCTATGGACCCGTTTTCCGAAAAAGTGCTGCCAAGATATTTAAACTCCTTCACCTGTTTCAGTTGTTTACTATTGACATGGATGTTCAGGGGACTATGGTTTCGGCTCACTTTCATAACTTGTTTTTGATGTGCTTATTTTCATGTTGAATTTCTCACAGCTTTTGTTGAATTTGGTAGTGTGATTTTGGAGGTCGACACATCTACTAAAATTCTAAAAATGTGCCGTAAACAAGTTCTTAATTTAAAATAGCGTTTTGAATAAAATTAAAAAATTTTAACGCTTATTATAATTTTCCATAAAAGACGATTGTCTTTATAAAATCATGGATTCTGTTGGGATCATTGTTGTCATATTTTGCTTCTAAAATATTTCCTTCGGGTCTCTCCAAAGTCTAGACATTCTGTTAAAATGTATCTAATGGTAAAATCTATGTCGCATACAACACAGAACCGCTTTGTGCTTGCTTTGGTGCATGTGGTCAGCTGTAAGTCTAATTTTTGCCTTGGTGAGGTGCCACGGAGGGAGGTCGGGGAAAAGAAATTGTTCGATGTCCGGTTTGAAAAAGTGTATGTTTTTAAGGTCCTCAAAGACTCTGAGGCCGAAGGGTTTGAGGAATTTTTCGTTGTTTTTGAATTTGTTTATGGTGTCTGGGTTTGTTCTGAAAATACAATCGTGGTGTTGAGCTTTGTTTAATTGCGTATTATAGGGAGAGTTTTGTGCGTCTGAGTGTGAGTGATGGTATGTTTGCCTCAGCCTGGAGGCTCTCCACTGAAGAAGTGCGGAAAGCCCCAAGGGCGAGGCAGAGTCCTTGGTTTTGTACTGGGTCTAGTATTTTTAGGACATGGGATTTTGCCAATCAATAGACCTGACAGCCATAGTCAAGCCTGGATCGGACATGGGAAATGTATAGGTGGAGAAGTCCCCGCCCCACTCCGGATGTGATAAAATTTTCAAAGCATTTAATGCTTTCTGGCACCTCACACGTAGGTCTTTTATGTGTGGAATGAATGTGAGTTTCTTGTCAAATATAATGCCAAGGAAACGAGCCTGGTCCTGGACGGGAATCCTTTCCCTGTAGAGTGTTGAATCCGGTTGCAGTACACGTCTGCCTGATCGGCAGAAGTGCACTGCAACTGTCTTTGATGGGGAAAACTTGAAGCCGTTATTATTTGCCCATTCTTCAAGTTTGTGCAGCTGTGAAAGGATCTTAGTTGAGGATTTTTCGAACGGCAGCATATCAGAAGTCGTCAACGTATAACGAGCTGTCTATGCATTTTGGAGGGTCTGAAAGATGGAATCTATTTTAATTTCGAATAGGAGAGGAGAAAGGATGCTTCCCTGGGAGATACCTTCCTCCTGTTGGCGGGTGTCTGAAAGGAAGGATCCGACACGAATCTGGAAGGAACGGTTCTTCAGGAAATTGCCAATGAAGACAGGGAGGAGGCCGCATTTGCCGAGGGCGTGCAGGTCTCTGAGAATGCCGTACTTTCAGGTTGTGTCAAAGGCTTTTTCTAGGTTAAAAAAAAGATGGCGATCATGTGGCCTCCTACGGCAAACGTCTCGCGTATAAAGTCTCCAGGCGGACCAGGTGATCCACGGTGGATCAAGTTTTCCTGAATCCACACTGGAGACTGTTCAGCAAGCCCGACGTCTCCAGAAACCACATGAGTCGCCTGTGAATCATTTTTTTCTATAAGTTTGTACAGACAGCTCGTTAGTGCTAATGGTCTGTAATTTGATGGGAAAGTGTGGTCTTTGTTTGGTTTGGGTATTGGAATGACAGTGGCGAGATACCAAGACTCCGGAAAGGAGTGCGACCCCCACATGTCGTTGTATATGTCAAGTAGGAGTGTAAGTGTTTCTGTGGGTAAATGTCTAATGATCTGATTGTGGATGTCATCCGGACCCGGGGCTGTATTGCCCAGGTCCAAGATACATGATATTAGTTTCTCTAAAGTGAAGTCTGTGTTGTAGGTTTCAGTGTTGTTTGAGTGGAAATTCCAGTGTGGTTGTTCTGTTAGTTTTGATGTTTTGAAAGATGATGTTGTAGTTTGCTTTGGGTGAGTTTTCGGAGAGAGATGTAGCTATTGTGCTTGCGATGTCTACCTGTGTTTCAGCTGTTGTTCCATCCGGCCTGTGAACGTGCCAGGCGGTGTCTGTGCATCTACCAAATTTTTTTTTGCGATTTTAGAAACTTGGTTGAGTGGTGTCTGACTGTTGATTTTGGAAATGAGTTTTCTGAACGATTGTCTTTTGCTCTCCCTGAAGCACCTACGTGCCTTAGCTCGAGCTTTTAAATAATTAATTTTGTATTCTGTTTCTCCGTTATGCTGCCTTCTTTTTCTTTACTGCATCATCACACTCCCTAGAGAACCAGATCTTGTTCTTCCGGAGTTTTGGAGATGTTATTGGTATGTATTTGTGACATATTTCTAGAAGCGTTCCATGTAATTTGTTGTAGTTGATGTCGAAAGAGGGGTGTAAAATCTGGGACCATTCAATGGCGAACCCATCCAAGGGTGCTTTTTCGAAAATGAAGCGTTCTGGGATCGGGTAGTTTCGAAGGCTATTGTTTCTTTAAAAGAATTGGGAAATGGTCTGTACAGTCATCCAGTGCAGACCACTCGAGATCAGGGACTAGGTCAGGGGTACAAAACGTGAGGTCAAGGGATGAAGTGCCAAAAGTGGATCTGTTTCTGTAAGTGGGGGACCTATCATTTAAGAGGCAGATATTATTAAATAAAAGATCTTCTATTATTTTTCCTTTCTGATCTGTGGGTTTGTCTCCCCAAAGGGGGCTGTGGGCATTAAAGTCACCTAGCAAAATAAACGGCTTTGTGAGCTGGACCTTTAAATCATTTACTTGGGTTCTTTTGAGGGGGTAATTTGGTGGGATATAGATATAGACAAAGCAGATCGCGACTGGTCTGTGCAGGGTGACCTGGACGGCAAAAGCCTGGAGGGTCGTCCCAAGATGTACTTGTCTGTGAAGTGTGTTGTTGTCAGTGTAGATGGTGATTCCACCGGAAGCAATCTGGTTCTCTGTGTGAATGTGATGGTATACGGTAAATCCTCTTAAGTGTATGGTTGAAGCCGGGGGTGAACTTTGTCTCCTGGATACAGGCCACAAGTGGGCACAGTGTGGCTTAAGTGTTGCAATTCTGCAATGGAAGGTCAGAGTCCACCGGTATTCCATTACTGGACTGTCATTATGAAGGCTTTTTTTATTTTGGAGCACACCGGCCCCGACTTCGAAGAAACACTCTGACTCCTCCTTGCAGGGAGGAAGAGGTTTTTCTAGGCTGCCGTACTGGATTGGACGGCGGCCTAATGGGGGATTTTGGGGAGCAGTGACGGGCTCAGCCCCTCCCGGGGACAGACAAGGGAAGGGGTCGGAGCTGTCCTCGTCCATAGGTAGATGGTGGGGGGAGGGGGGGGGAGACAGAGACACAGACAGACAGACAGACAGACAGACAGAGACAGACAAACAGAGACAGAGAAATTAAGACAAAGATAGAGAAGGAAAGAAATAAGAGAAATAGAGAGAGAAGAAATTTAAGTGAAAACCTAAGAGATAAACTCACTCACCCAGTTGTGAAGATGCTCCAACCAGAGAGTAGAAGCTGAGTCCAAAGGTCTGGGGAACAGAGGAGTAAAAAAGGCTTTCTAAAAAATAGTGACTCTCTTCCTTTTTCCTCACCTTCTCCTTCCTCCTATGTCTCAGGAGAAGTCAGTCATCCAAAGGTTCTTCAACCCACAGAACAATGACTTGCATATATTATGGCTTACTTTCCTGCCAGACCAAACAGTGCAAAATGTTTCAGGAAACCATATAAACAGCCGAACCTGCTGAAACGGCCACCTATATAAGACAATCCCACATTCCATTTCTTCCCCATCATGTTTCTTTACAGTATAATGACACTGTGTAAGGTGGCCACCTGTCTAAGACAGCCACTTTTCTCCTCGACAATGGGCGGCCGTCTTACATCATTTCAATTGTACTACTTTCAAATGGACTCTTTCTAGTGATTAGAGAGTCTTCATCTAGTGATTAGAGAGTCTTCATTTATGAAATGGGACAGAAGGAAATTTATCTGCAACAAACTTCCTTTCTTTCAATTTCAACAAAAAGGTATCAAGATTCTTAAAAATGTGTCAAATGCTCATACAGGATTACAAAGCCTTCATTTTTCCAAATTTGATTTCAGGAACTTTATCCCACCGTAAAAAAACTTACTGTTGACAACAAGGTAAACCTCTACAAAGTGGCAATATCTGGAAATTTGGCAAGAGAAACTAGTGTCTTACCCCAACCAAATTTTTCGTTACTAATTCGAGTTACAGTCCCAAAGGTCACACTGGACCAAGTCAGTACTCTTGGTGAACATCGCAATAGATCTAATGCAATGGGCTGCACCTTAAAGACAAGGTCAGCAAGTCATTAACTCATCAGCTGTGCCTACAGGAAACTTAAAAATTCTCACTGAGCCAAATAATAATGATTATGAGAAAAATGACTCACTCTGTTTGACCCTGCTTATCACAGGGCAAATTAAAGCATGAAATTCTGCAATGCAAAAAGGTTATTTATAGGACCGACTACCCTGCACAATGATATGAAAAAAAAGGTAAAGATGAAGCGTCATAGTAAATATCAATACAAGAACATTGGTGCATAAATGTTCAACTGTATCATTCCACTGTTACAAGGGCTGTGCTCCTGACACTTGAGCAGTTATTTATTGATCCCATGACCACCAAGGGGAAAACAGACCCTCAACTCAATTTTCCCCTGCCTCATGTACCCATGCACACAGACAAATACCACAAAAGCATACTCACAGCACCATGGCCGGTCATTCCCAGCAAAACGCCAACAATGCGACCCCATGCTGCTCCGATAAGAAGACAGGGGATAAAGAGTCCACTGGGCACGCTCAGGCCATAAGTCCAGCAGGCCAGGAAAAAATAGCCAGTGGCGAAGATGGTCAAGGTCAGAACTTGGTATGTGCCTGGTAAATGAGAGCATTGAGCTGTAGTTTACAGTAATTCAAAATTATAACAGTCTCGGTATCCACTCAATTAAGTTTTTGTAGGTTGCAAAGCAGTCTGAACAGCAAAGTAAGCACAATAACACACAAATATTCAACTTGAAACAGATCAGGTAAAAGTAAAAGGAATTGGAGAGAGACCAGACCATTCTCGAAAGCCTACCGATCACAAGAAAGTTTCTTTTGGATTTTTAAGTTTCAAATTCAAGGTGTTTAGTTTTAGTAGATTTTTTACAGCGCTCGCAACTGCATACAGTCATATGAGACCCGAGGGGTGGATGTCAACAGAGAAGTCCTTACAGGGAATCAGGCTTATTCTGCTCACCTCTCTAGCTTCAACAGCACAAAGTCTGCTTCGACTATCAAGGCACCCCGGAAATAGCAGGTCACAAAAGTGTGACATAACGTACAAAAGAAGTAGAGGAAAATGACGATAGTAAGGATTAAGAAAGAAAAAGCAGCAGTTCCCTGTAGCAGTTAAGGCACTTATGAGCATGACATTGATAAAATAAGCCCGAATAACAATTCTACTGTGCATAACAACATGGTTAATGTCCCCCCTTTGGGAATGGCCTAAAGACACTTCAGTGAGTAACACCGCCCCGAGGGGGTTAATTCAAGGTGTGTGAGGATTAAGGACAAAACTTCACAGGGCAAAATATGTTTGTTCAACATGACTCACCTGGAGGGCTGTGGAACAGGTTCTTCACTGTAGCCTCAGGTGTATCAAAGAAAAGACGTGCTGAGGAACTATACTCCCCATCATTACAGAAAAACTGAGGAGAAAAAAAGGGAATATACCAAAAACAGAAATGAAAAAGCATTTTGATTGCACTTAAAGCAGGGTTTTTCTTTACATTTTCCAATATCTCACTGGATCATTATTTAACTCATTAAACCCAAGAGACCTCTCCCAAATAGATGGAGAGCTCTTGATGGTGGTCTTTACTCCTGCACAGGGTGAGAAAGGCTAATGATGATGATGATGATAATGATAATGACCTCTCTCAGCAATTTAAGTTTCTTCCCAAAATAATGAACGACTGCTCCCAGCAGTGGATATAAAGAATACAGATATAAAGCATTGTTCTCATCTAAACAGCCATTAAAGCTTACAAAAATTTTTACCAAGCTTTAAATGGAAGCTAGTCCCTTGTTTTGTATTGTGTTTATGTTTGTTCTTTCTTTTGAGTTGAAGCATAAATTAACAGTAAGAGAGACTAGCTGTAAATACAATAACTTCTTGACACCAGAGAAGTTTCACTGCCGATATGGCAAGAAAAGCAATACTGTCAAATTCAAACCTGCTCAAATGACTACATGTCTCAGACAATCACCAGTACAAAAGAACATTTCCCACTTCTTCACTTGTGTTTTTAAAATACTGTGTCCACTTGTCTTTTACAACCACTCTTTTCCTCGACAATGGGTAGCTGTTTTGGACAAATGTCTAATTCCATTTTTCCCCTCGCGTTTTTTCTATTTAAATGGCACTGACTAAGACGAGAATCTGTCCAACGTGGTAGCAGCCACTATATTTTATCAACCGATAGCTTTAAAAAACCTGTCCAAGATGACCCCACAAATCTCTCAACACCCAATACATTGCCATGAATTATTTATTAACCCCAGATGCTGTGGACGTGAGAAAGCATTCAATATCGTGACAACTTATGGAAAATTCTCAGACATCACAGCATTCCAGAAAAACAAATCAGACGAAGGTTAGGTTACCAACAGTTCCCACCTACACACAGGAATGAAACAAGAGTGTATACTATCTCCTTCCTTGTTTCTGCTTACCATTGATAGGATCATGAAAGCAACCATAGAACACAGAAAGACAGGAATCTAATGGACACAATTTGAAGGCCTGGACTCATTTCTCTACAATTTGATGTCCAGCACTGGCATGTTTGTGTGAAATATAAACCATCCACATTCATTTTAAATATGACCCACTCATTACGGAAAAAGAAAAAGAAATTCTACCAATCAGTGGAAATCACTTGGGGGTCAATGAGTAAAAGACTTTTACAAAAACCTCATTTCCCTGTGCTTGGAGATGCTTTAATCCTTTCCCTAACAATACTAACATGCCTGAAATATATTCCTGTTAAACTGGGACAGTTGTGGATAAGACTACAAAAGGGGTTCATACCAGCAGAACGAAAGGAATCAGACTTGCAAGGAAGAAATATATAAGCCCAATGACCATGGAATACTTGAACAAAGCAGCATTGGACACAAGAGACTGTGAGTCACAAAGCTGTTTAAATAGAAATTACGTAAATCCATTACCAAGTGCATTTTTTTTTTGTTATGATAATAATGCAGGAATTTTGATTTCAGTAAATCATGCTCTGTGCACACCTTACAAAGTTACTGAAATGTATCAAAGGAAGAGGTCAATTACTCACCTGCACCAGCATGGACTCACGATTCTCCCTCAGTGGTTTACAGTCATTGCTGAAGAAAATTAAGACGTATGCGAAGCAGCCAGTGTAAGCAGCCACAATCATCACTTCAATCACCTGAAGCCAACGCCGCTGTACATATCTAGGGAAACACACAACAAGTACAGGACTTTTTCACAACGCACTCTTACGAATGGTCAACTAAATTTGTTTTTGACCATAGAAGACATTCAAACAAACAGCCCATACTGCTCCAGCCATTTTGCTGCTAAAGCTTTGTTCTGGCTGGATGCTCAAAATATTGTCTGCACGTATCAGCTTCACTCTTATGTACAATTGTCAATGAAACACTTGTCAAGATCAATAAGGAAGGAAAATCCAGCAAACATTTTATAAAAGAATAGACCCACTCATCTAAGTAACGATATCATTATAAAAGTAAAAATTTTAAAACAAAATTTCAAGGCAACACAACCTACGAAAGCAATCACCCAAAATTGTGTGTGTGCCTGGTGAAAGGGACCACATGTCGCATTTTGAAAAATCCCGTTTTTTTGGCATTTTCTTGTACAGAAATCATTTCTGAACAATGTGCTTTTTAAATTTTGAAGATATCTTCAGTAGTTTTTGAGATATGGGCGATTTTGTAAGGCAGGGTACGGAAACAAAGTTTTGAGAAAAACGGCTCTAAAGTTTCACCTTTGTTTCTGCAGAAAAAACTAAAACAGAACACCCTTTTTTCATAACAAGTCACCATTCTAGTAAAAAGGTTTTGCTGTTGCTGAAATATAATGTTGTTAAATCATGTTCATAATTATTATTGTTTTGTTTAAAAACTTGATACCCCCCTCCCTCCCCCTTCATCTCCTGCAACACACACAGGCAAAAAAAAAGTATCTTCACCAGAGTAACTAGGGAACTTAACACTATCAATCATCAGGGTCAGAGGAAAACTTTTTGTTCCTTACCCACTTAACAAGATTGCCACATATCCAGATCTTAGAACCCAGACTCTCCCAGGAATAAATGAAATTTTGTTCTGCATACATTTAGAATTAAGAAAACAAAAATGCACTAGATCTACTATGAGTCTATGAGTAAGTTTCAGTAAGCTAGATCTAAACTAGATCTAGATCTAGGTTTATCAAGAAAGAACAGCGTAAAGATAATTATTACTATTAATTATCATTATAATAAATAATTATTAGTTTGCTAAATCTAAATCTATTTCTGTTATCACTGTTGTTTTTGCGGTTGTTAATCTTTACCTGCTTCGCTCGGTTCTGCTTCAAGTGCGGGGTCTGAAACCGGTGATGGCACCACAGATCGAACCCATCTTCTTCCTCTTCTCCCAAATCAACGTCAGAAACGAAATAATCGCATATTACATCTCTCATGTCTTCTTCAGTTGCCATTCTGACATTCCAATGCGTCTAAGAGAATTGAGAAGAGACACAATTTCCTGCTCTCGAATAGCAGTACTAGATCTAGATCTAGATTTAGTACTAGATCTACTACTAACAGTACCGGTAGTAGTAACAGCTGGCAGCTCCGCCGTGTTGTTGTGCTTCGAGACGACCTGACAACACAGTCGCTTCTCACAAACTAACTTTAAAAAGCAGCTCTACAATAAAAGAACAGCTTCAAAGTGTTTATATTACGTCTTCAAAACAAATTCACCACCACATTGAACAGGAATTTCAAGAAATACGGTTTGCACAGGGCAGAAATAGGCGATACAAGTTTGCTCTCCAAAGAAACAAAAGGGTATGGATGCGCAAAGTTTCGCTTTCTTTACATGTTCTAGATATTCATGCGCACTACCTGCCATTGGAGAGCAGAGAGAATGACCTAAATTTTAGTATGCAATGTGATTGGGTCGACTTTATGAATGGACAAGAGAAACCATCCGCAGTGTTTACCCTGAAAGCCAGTTTCCTCAAGCATTTTTTGGGATTATGCAATATACCTCGGGTTAAAAAACACCTTTTAAAATGTATTTATAAGTCAAAATCACCCAAATCCTTGTAAACATCAATAAATAAATGGCTGAAGAATCCATTTTTAATGGAACTTAGTTTTTGTCAAAAATTCTATTTTTGACCTTTGAAGCCTGATATCTCGGTTTGAGAAAATGCGACATGTGTTCCCTTTCACCAGGCACACACACAATTGTTTAATTTATAAATTTACTTACTTCATTCTGAAAATGGTGAGCTTGTAGTTGATGTGATTGAACGCAGCACCTGTCAGGCCACCTGTGAGGTCAAAAATTTAAACAATTCCTTTCATGCAAAAGAACTATACTTGAGGACTATATCTCTGTGACAACAAACATTACAGAATTTCAAAATGAAGTTCACTGCCAATTAAGACATTTACTGGAATATTCTTTCCAAGGGCTAGAACAAGAACGAATAATAGTAAAATTTAAGAGAAACAGAAGGAATATACAATACTAATTGCCTGTACAAACTTTTGTTTTGTTTTAGTAGAGGATTTACGGCGCTCGCAACTGCATAAGGTCATATGAGTGCAGAAGATTAGAGGTGTTAACAAGAGAGTAACAAACATATTTGATAGGAAAGAAGGAGAAAACCACACCAGAGCACCCACCAACCACCCACTACAAACTTTTGTAGAGAAAAAAAAAAAAGAAAGAAAAGGATGTCTTAAAATTGAACACAAGAACACACGAACATAGATTATATTTGACAAGAAAGGCGGAAAACATACTAGTATGGCATGAAATGAAACGATGAGACAAAAAATGACATCAAAAAGCATGAGGCGGTCAGTTTAAGGCATAAAATACATAATGCCAAAACAAAATGAGATGGAGCAATTTCATCAGCAGACAGGAAGACTGGGATGTTCAAATTATTGTTAACAATTGTTCATTTATCTCATACGTGTGTCACTGTGGATCCATATATGAGAGTAATCAAATATTTTGTGCGTGAGCGTGAAAGAGAGGGTCTGTGTGTGTGTGTGTGTGTGTGTGTGTGTGTGTGTGTGTGTGTGTGTGTGTGTGTGTGTGTGTGTGTGTGTGTGTGTGTGTGTGTGTGTGTGCACGCGCGCGCGTGCATGCAGTAAAACACAGAACCAATGTGACAGTATCTGGTCTGCAAAGATTAATCTTATCATATTTTTGTGATACTAAAAAAGGCATAAAGAATACCTCCCAGCAACAGAAATGGAAGCCAACAGGAAATATGTAAAAAGGGAAAAGCCAAGATACACAGAGGAGAACCAAATGTCATAATATAAAATACCACTAAGGAGTACAGCCAATATAAATCTACGAGAAAAGGCAGAGGACCTGTCTGAACCCATTTTTTTTTTAATTTTAGTAAGAGTTCTACGGCAAAGTGGCTAAAATAAAGAGTTGTTACAAGAAAGTAACAAACACAAAAAAGAAGAAGAGTTAAGGACGATAGATGTTTGATAGGAAATAAAGAGCAAACCCGCCAGCCAATCAAAGGTTGAATAGAGAACCTAAGAACCAAGCTTGGGGAGTACTACAGAACATGAGACAGAACAAGAAAAGATGTTATCATAATAAAGTACAGGTTAAAAAACCAAAAACAAAGAGACAAATAAGAAAAGTTTCCTCCATCTGAACACAACAAGTGACAGAAAATACAAGAGTGTTGTTAGAATAGATTTTGATTTTAATCTACTTCTATTAGAAAAAAGATTTTAAAAAACCCAGTCCACTAATAAAAGTGAGCACTCACCTATAGCACCCATGGCAATTACAATGAACAGCTCATAAAACTTGTATTGAACACTCTGGGGAAAAGAGACACACATAGAACTGAGACAAAACTGAGATACGTAACTTACAGAAAATCAGCATGATCATGGCTACATTTAGCAGGTAATAATAAACTGAGATAACTTTAATGTACTTTGTTTTCACTGACTTTACTACAAACAGAGCAATATATGCCTTAGGAACTTCATCATATCAGGTCAGCATGAGTGGCTCTCACACAGCTGGTTCAAGCATTGCTTGTGAAGCACCCTGAACCAGTATTAAGCTCCTAAGAAATAAATGGAGACGGAGAGGAAACTCACAGAGAAGCAGGCTCAGTCCTACAATCTTTGACGTTGTTTACCTCCACCATGTATTTAAGAATAAATGTAAGTATAGGCATGTAAAATAATTCTGTTCAGTTGTTTTTTTTTCAAAACTGCGGCAACCCCATGTAAGTAGTGATCTGCAATTTAGGCCCTTAGGAAATGCTCTATTTTCATACACAAATTAGGCCCCGCCATATATACTAGACACTGCCATGAGCCTTTCTAGAAGCCTATTCCTCTCAATCAAATAGTTTGCTTATTTATCATAGCTGCCACTAAGGAATTTTTAAAAAGGAGGAAATTCACACAAAGGCATATGCATGCTCTCTGAAGGCCGGAGTAAAACCAATGAGATCCAGAGGCAATATCTTGGAACAAATATGTTTTTAGAAGGGAAAAGTCATATTTGTTAACCATACTGAATTAAAATGTATTTGAAAAAAAAAATCCAAGACACTAACAAGCATTTCAATCAAATGTTTGTTGCCAGCAGGTGTCTCATAAAAAGATTTCTTTCACTTTTGACTTGTGCAACGATGTAGAGCAGTATTGGATTTAAGAGGCAACACTTTTGCCACTGTACGAGATTTCTTTATCACACCAAACGAAAAGTGCAGCACCCAGCTTGTTCAATTTTCTAATGAACTGTTGAAATCGCACACCATCTGCTTCTTTCTCAATCCAGCTCCATATATTTTTACATTCTACAGAATCTGCATCAATTTCTCTCGAATTTTCGCCGTTTCCAATGAGAACTCGACACGCCGTTATCCAGATGCTCGATCGACAGCCGACACTGTCACTCCACAATAAACAATGTGAAACATAAGTGCAAGGCACAGACCGAAAGTAGGAAGCTACGGGTGGACATGCGCACGCCGCATCTTTGTCTCAATCCCGGTTTGGTGTTTTCAGAGTAAAAAAAATATCGCAAATTGCTACCGAGAGTGGTCTAGCAGAGGAAGGAGGAAAGTAGCGGGCAAAACCAGATGAAGCTGAGGTAACGGAGTTTACACTATTTAGCTGAAAAGTGGAAGCTATGATTTATACATCACACAGCAAAACAATAACACGTGATCTAGTACCAGGGGAAAAAACTCACATCGAAAGTCCCAAAGTTGATGAGTCCAGCATAGGAGAGCTCCCACGGGTGACCTTTGATGTAACTCTGCACAATGTTCAAAGTCATGGTGGACACCATGGAGGAGAAGAACTGGGAAAAGAATGTGTGAGGAAAATGGGCAACATATACATTTTTGAGCAGGAGAATAAACAAGGGAAACAAAACATGTTTTGAAAGGATGCATACTGAAGTAAAATAAGTTGTTCTCTTCGCATAAGTCCACCAGAAGAGTCAATCTGATATAAGTGGTGGAAGGGGAACTTATGAAAACACAAGCAATAAAACCATCAAAAGTCCAACAGTACTTTGGATAGGCACTTATTTGAAAGAAAAAAAAAAACTACTGTTATATTTGTCTGTCTTTTCACAGTTCAAGGTAAGGAGGAGCAAACAGCAACTTACAATTCTCCAGACCAGTGCCTGGTTCCAGAAAGAAGCTCCTTCCTCCAGACTGAAGAGAACACCGCCCACCGGGGCTCCAAACGCAGCGGACACACCAGCCGCAGCACCAGCAGACACAAAATCACGCTTTTCCGTGTCGCTACGGAAGTCATGAAACATCTGGAAAAGACAGAATCACAAAAATTCTCAGAAAATGTATGTTTTGGTGAAAGTATTCGGGCATTTGCAACACAATAAAGTCATACAAGTGCCGAAGATCAGGGTGTTACAAGAGAATAACAAACACAAAAAAGGAGGACAGATAAGACGATGGATGTTTTGGGGGGTTTTTTGGTATGGGGTTTTATGGCGCTCGCAACAGAATAAGGTCATATGATCGCGCGAAAACAAATTGGTTTTTTCTCAATAGTTCATTTCTCGGTCTGATGCTGGTCAATATTTCTATCCAAAATTATTAAAACACTAAAAATCGAGTGTAATTAGATTTTACATTTAAATTTAAATTTAAAACAACTTTCTAAATAACACCAAAAAAATTTTTTTAATCTACTTTATAACTTTCCATAAAGGCCAAGGGCCTTCATAAAATTTAAAATTCTGCTGGGAACAACGACGGAAAAAATATCTTTCAATTTTTTGCTTTAAAAATATTTCCTTCGGGTCTCTCCGAAGTCGAGACATTCGGTTAAAATGGATAGATGTTTGATAGGAAAGAAGGAGCAAACCAAACAAGAACACCTGCCAACCACCCACGAGAAAACGTATAGAAAAAGAAAGCCTAATATACTCATAAAACAGTAAGCAGAGAAAGGTCCGATGGGTATGACCAGAAGCATTTCTAAGTCATTATATCTTCTCTCATCATCACGAAGAGTCAGATCTGAAACAGATCAGTGATCATGGTTCTCCATTCATTTCTATGCTCAGAAGCTCTCAAAAGAAACCTACATTATCCCGGTCTTCCGCCTCACAGCGTCAAAAACTGGCCAATTCGTGCCTCTTAAGTTTCTCAGCCCCGCGGAATCTAGAAGTCATGAAATCACCGTCCGAACCGCTCTGTGCCGGGTTACGCGGGGGGGTCACTGGCCGCTCCTGCATGCAGGTCATGATGTAATCGACACTTTTGACACTAAATATCGGCAGTATCCTCCCTGTAACCACGAAATTTTACATACCAGAAGAAAAGATCAAGTTTCCCTCTCACAGTCTGCGAAAACCCAACCTATATGCGATTATGTTTGCTTGTGTTACTGTGTGCGCAAAATGTTCTCAGTTTCCAATAATTTAATCTATGTTTATTGCACTTAAGGCTTACTTAATTTCTAAAGTGTCTATAAACTTCACAGATTTTGGTACATGTACGGAGAACATATTGTTCTTTCATGTTTGTAAATTTCATTATAGTCGGGAAAATGGTTGTTCAGATATTAAATTACATCCATCCTATTCTCGACCAGTGCCTCGTTATTCGCCAGCGTAACTGTGCTTGCTACACATTCTATGCCCTTTTTTAAGTTCTTCAGTTCTCCATCAATTTCAAAGATTATAGTTTCCATTTTTGGGAGACACACTTGCGCTTCAAGTCCATGAATTTTATCTTTGTTGATGGGATGATTGTTACGATATTAGGGGAAAAATCAATCAGCTCGTGGTTCATTTTTAACAAGTTGACTAAAAACTCCTAATGGAACACACACACGAGAAACATACCTCATCCCTGAATGAACTTTGCCTCATTTGTGGGTGTAAGAACGTGACTTAAGTTCAAATGCCGCGGAAAAGAAAGCCCAAGGCACGTGCACCATTGCAAAATTGTTGTTTTATTCATTTATAAAATACAAGACCGGATGACACTGCCAGAAATGCCACCGAGCATTTGTAACACTAATTAGAAGAAGGCCACCTTGTCCAGATTTTCAGCCAACACATAGGGTGAACATTCGACAGTCAAACTACGATAAAAGACCACCGTATTTTCCTATATCGAGTCAGTTCCCCATCTGTCTGTTGAACAAATCGACTTAACATAACGAAGGAAGGCTATACTTCCTTTGCAGAGCTGGTAGTAAAGGAGTACAAGTACTCCGGTTCCTGTACTTACGTTACAATTTTCGGTACTTTTACTGTACTCCGGTACATTTTTTAAACCAGTACTTTTACTGTACTCCGATACTTTTTATAAAAGTACATTTTGAGTACTTTGGTAGCTTAATGAAAGGGTAAGTGCAGGCATTTCTGATCATAATTTACGGAACAAAAACCCGATCAACCGCCAAGAGTTAAAAGTTGAGATCAAAGAACGGCCGTCGCCTCAAAGATCAGCCACTATCGTGAATGTGATCACAAGCGTTGTAAAACTCCTTGAAACGGTACAGTGTTTGCTCCAGACGGGATCACACCAATATGTGAACTGACCGATGCGTTTCTTTTCCCCAAACATCGCACTCGCATCTGACCTCACCACCTAAACTTACATCACTCCCTGGGTGGGTAGGGCCTACAAGTTCGCTCCAGGCGGGATCACATCAAACTGTGAACTCTTCCCTGACCGTTGAAAGCAGTTTTTTTCCGAATTTGCGAGACAACCTGAATTTTAATTAGTGTGGTCACATCGTAATGGTGCGTAACGACAAAGGTGGTTGGGGGGGTGGGTCATCAAGGTTGACCACTCTTTGCTTGCCATATATCATAAATCCACCCAGGGGGCACGTCAGTTCATGGGTCACTGTAGATTCTTCCTTGGCTTCGTTTGCTAAGATCCCATATTTTCCTTGCTTCCGAGCACTGGGATCTTAGACGGAGACTACTGCAGTAGAGAATCTTTGGTTACCGGTACACTACACTTACTAGACTCTAGGAAACTATTGTATTTTGGTTTGCCATTGGCGCCGTGGACTACACAGTGTGACCAAAATCTGTCAGACCACTATAATCAATTGAAACTGAAACTGTGTTCTCAATGTTTAACAATTTTTAGGCTGCCTAAATTTCTTTTAAACTTTTTTGGGTGGTTTTTGCTTAAGGCTACATTGATTCCTTGAGGATTTGTTAATGAAGAATTCAATGCACTTTTCCATTTCTATGCGGGCCATTTTCATCAATTTTATGTTTTCTTAAGAGCAACTTTGTATCTACATATTTCAATTTGGATACTCTTTCTGTAGAACTTTCCGACCTCTAGGACTGACTTACATTTGATCACATTGTCTTGCTCAAACAAGTTCTATTCATAATATCACTTACCCACTAGTTGTGTCTGTTCGTTTAGGTTGTTTTTTGTTCAACTTCACGGACCATTTCCACCGTTCAGTGCCTACATTGTATATTCAAATGCTTTGTATACTGTTTACATTTTTAGTAATAAATAGCCTAATTTGTCAAATATACTGTATAAGTTATAAAATATGATGTTTTGCATAAGCGCTGAAGTGTTTTAGCATATTAGCAGAAAGTACTCAAAATGTACTCATAAGTACTTTTTTTTAAAAGTACTTGTACTCAAGTACATTTTATAGGAAAGTACTTTTACTGTACTTAAGTACATTTTTTAGATTGTACTTAAATTTGTACTTAAGTACATTTTTTAAAAAGTACTTTAACAGCTCTGTTCCTTTGTAAGTAATCAATTGTGTCATCTTTATTTTCAGTATCACAAACCTCCCCATAACACCGCCCCTGTTTAACCACAGCTATGATGCCTGTCTTTGGTCAAATGTAGCCAAAAAACTATTTTTGATATATTTATTGCGTTTTCAAAATCCAGACATTGAAAGTAAAATCTCATTGATGGGACACTTCGTGTATGTTAACAGCTCTGTTGCCTATGGTGAGCGTTAAAATAAAAGGGTGTAGAATTGTCGGGGTGTGTAACGCCATGCATGGAGTGAATGCAGGTAGACTGACTGACTGGCAGCTGACACCGGTAATGCTGACATAGCAGCGCCTGGCCTGCCGAAACTAAACGACCACAGATTCCGCGCTGCGCCCTATCTGTTCAGTTAATATCTTAACTAATTAACCACGAGACAGAGTAACATACATAAAAAATTTCTTTAAGTACACAAATTTACTGTAACGTGCAGTGAATCCTTTCACACTTTTGACAAATACGATAAAAAGAAAGACAAAAGATCCAGGTCACAATATTCTACAAGCATATTATTCATGGCAATCGGTCTTTTTTAGAAGAACAAGAACTGAGATATTCCTAAATGATGACACCAAATCAAGCAGCATTCATACAAAATCAACAAACATCAGAGGCTGTAATAGACGTAAGCCAGCATCCTTTTTTTTTTTAGCTTTGGGAGAAACCCCCCCCCCCCCCCAAATTAAAATATAAATAATATAAATAAATAAATAAAGTCTGATTAGGATCCTCACGTTAAAGTCAAAATTAAGGGAAGTGGAGCGGCCTTGAGAGACTCCAGCAGCAATGACAGCTCCAGAGTGGATCATTGGTCCTTCCTGGGGAGACAGAAGGTGTCACCGGTTAGAACAAAAATGTAAACAAGAAGCCAAATGACAATCAGGTACATGAGTCACAGAATAAAAAAACAATAATTAAAACAGGGCACTGGGGAAAAAAATTGGACATTTTTCATCCATTCCCAAAATCAAAAAACGAAAGTAAATGTGCAACTGGTGATGAGCTTATGCTGGCTCACAATACCTCACAAACAAACCAACAAAAAAATTAGAAGATAACTTTGGTTCTACAAAGGCAGGTCACTGAGTCATTGTACATACAAGTCTGACTGATGAAAAGAGGCAACATAGTCTAAAGATATAGTTTATGTCTTTGTCGCAGTTATACACAACCTCAACAGATCTGACTGTGCACCAACTTGTCTCAAACAAAAATGGAATAACTAAATAGAGATGTCCTGAAAGACAATAAACAAAAAAATATGCCATTTGTGAAACGATCAATCAGGAAATGGTTAAGCAGCCTAAGACAGCAGAAGAAAGGAATACGAGTATAACTAACCATACATACACAATCTCCCCCCCCCCCTCACATACACACAGTTGGTAGGGGAAAAAAATATACCCATAGCACGCCTCTAGGATGAGCGGGAACATTAAGGGTAGAATAACACAGAAATCGACAGCTCAGTGTAAGACTCAATCCTACGTCACTTTTCAAAATGATGCATGGCAGAGTCTTACAATAAGCAGTCGAAATATATAAGACATTTATATCGCTGTGTTGTCACTCTCTCCTTACCATTCTTCTTTACTCTGACCATAAGGTGAGCAGCTCTGCCTCCAAAAAGACACTCATATGTACACTAGAATATTAATCTAAAACAATCGAAAATTAAAAAATTTTTTAAAAACAAAACAAAAATTAACTAAACAAAAGAAAACAACAAGAAAAAGCCCCAGCATTCCCCTTACCTTCCCAACAGCCAGTCCTCCTGCCACAGCACATATAACACCAACCACTTTGGTGACAAGGGTCTTGATGCGAACGACGTGTGGCACAACGACACCATTCAGATAGCACTTGATCTGAGGGATGCCACTACCAGCAGCCACGGGCTGAGGACAAAGTAATTAGCTGAAGGTCAAGTTTAGTTGTGAAATTCTGGCTGTGAGTGACAAAACTATAGTTATTGAAATAAATTCATATACACTAAGCCTATACCTTCGTTAAGGCATACCCAAAAGAGAAAAGTTGAAAAATCTAAAAAGCCGAAAAGCATCAGATCACCACTGCTGGAACAACAACACTTTTGAAAAATAAATACAAAAACAATGAATATTCACCTTTGACAGTCTCTTAAAGTTTAGTGTCTAGAGATTTATAACTAAAGAAAATTATTTTAAAACACATGCAGAGCTGACATAAGTGCACCAAAAGGGCAAACTCTAGAGACAGATATTGCTTCCCTACATATGTTTTTTTAAGTTCCTCAACACTGCATTGTTTACACTAATTCAAATAGTTGAGTGAGTGTGGTTATGATCTTAATATATATGGTCATGATCTTAATATATGTGTAAGAATGTGTATGTGTATATTTGCGAACATATGTGTGTGTAAGAACCTAAGATTCATATGAGTGAGTGTGCTTTTTAGATCTATCAACTAAAATTTGAATGAGTTTGTGGAAGTGTCTACAAGAGTCTATGTGTGTATGTTTATATATGAGTGTGCCTTAACTGTGCTTTATAAAAATGTTTAAGTGAATGTTTATGTGTATGCTTGGATGTTTTTGTGAGTGTGCATGAGTATGAGTATGTTTAATGTGATGTGTGGTTATGCACATAAGTAGGCATAATATGTGATGAGATTATATGCAGCCCATGGGCTTCGGGCGTGTGTCTTTGAATTATTCCACTTTTTTTCTCATGTCAGCTCTCTGTTATCTTTGTTTTTCTACTGTGATGGTGTGATGTATCTCACACAGCCTGAGGAAAGCCAAAAAAGCATGGCCAAAATTAGCCAGCCTTGCAAAAAAAATCTAAGTTGTGTCCACGGGGTTGAAAAGCATTTACAACAGATATCCTCTGTCCAAGAGAGCCTCAACACATTCAAAGATTAATATGCCCTTTGTATTTTTCGAATTTCTTTTAGGATAACTCTGATCAGGTCTAACCAAAGTTCATGGACCAAGAACCTTTTTAGCAAGGCTTTAAAATACAGCCACAAAATCATCTAGGTTGTGAAATGGGAAAAGAATACATTTAAAGTTTTTCAGTGAGAGTTAAAACAGGAGTGGAGACTCGACGATAGACAACAGATATTCAAAATTTCAAAAGGGTAAAAAAAAAAAAATCCATTGCCAATCTCAGAGATAACACTGTAACTGTACATCAACCAAGATCAATAAGAAATTAGAAATCAGGGTATGCCTTCTACTTTCGTAATATATTTTCATTTGAAATGCAGATTCATTCACTGAGCTATACAAAGATCAAAGTATCCTACAAGCAACACTCATTAATATTCAGATTATGGTGTAAATGAATTCAGCCAAACCAATCCCATCTGAACCCTGTGCTTCTGTCACAGCACAGATCTGACAAAAAAGAAAAAACAGAGAAGCTTGGAGTATCAGATATTATGAGAGCCATAAAGATGTCAAAATACCGTCCCCAACCCACCCCACCCCATCATCTCTCTCTCTTTCACATACACAAACACACTCTGCAAGTAGAATAATGCAAGTCATTTGATCATTACTGCAGTCACGTAGTACGACTGCCCAAGAGAGTGTTGCACAAACTGCATTAAGGTAATGTGCAACCAGTGAGTTTGACTGGGTATTTCCATAGCTAACCCTATATTATCTTGCTGAAACCCAAAATGGTGTGTTTCACACATGATTCCAGATCCAAACCAATAGAGAAAACTAAATAGAGTACAACTACCAGAATCCTCTTGCTTAGCCTTTGATCCTTATGGAAGAAAGGTTTTCATCTTAAAAACAACTTACTCTTGTCTCCTCTCTCTGGAAATTCTTCATTCACACCAATTCACACTATCAACAACACACAAATCTGCATACCCTGTTATGTGGTGGCTTTTAAGAGAGAGGTCACCGTTTGTGTACTCAACAAGACATGTTAGACTTAGATCACAAACAGGATTTTGTACAGCTGCAATCATTATATAAATTGGTATGCTAATATTTGAATCCATTTTATTTTACACTGATCATTATGAATTTCATTGTAAAGCAAATCTTCCTACACAAAATATAAAAGCTGCACTTTCAATTAAACACTCCCAGAAGGTATGACAGAAGGAATGATTCACCTCGATGTAGGCAGTGAGGACCGCCCCAACCATCACAAGTCCTATGTTGAACAGCAGCCATATCAAGTGAGGAGAGTACATGCAGTAATCCACTACACACCTGTCCACCACTGAACTCCAGTCAAGGACAACAAAACGCTAATAAAATAGATTTTGAAGAAGAGCAGGCACGTCCATAGTCCATTTCAAAATGAAGCCCAACACCAAAATAATGGGGGAAAAAATAGATAAAAAAATAAAAAATAAGGCCGATACAAAATAATTAAGACAGGCTTTAAAAAAAGGCATCTTGTTTCCTAAAGAGCAACTTATAGTTTTAGTTGGAATTTTACACCACAAATAGAAGATATAAATACCAAGAATTAGAAATGATACTAAAGAGTAACACACAAAGAAAAGAAAGAGAAGAGATATGAGCAACAAATGTATGATAGGAAAGAACGGAGCAAACCAGAGCACCCACCAGCCACCCACCAGAAGAGCATCATACACTATTTTCCTCCAGGAGAAAGCATCAAACACTAACATCTGAGTTGAAAACCCTGACAGTCAACCACCTCTACTGTCTAGCATAGGAGTGTACAACAAACAAACAAGAGCAAGGTATCCTTCCTAAAAACTTGAGCAGAACCATAGCTTCTCCAAGATCCTTGTCTACACATAATTTACCCCCACCTCCACTCCCAACTTCCCTTGCTAAATCTTCAGCAATTCAAGCAGAGAATTCAGAATTTTTTTATTCTGTTCTAATTGACAAAATGAAGACAACTAAACAATAACACAAAATAAACCTGAAACAGCTCAGAATGAGAGACAGGGCAGAGCATTTAAAATACTTCATCTTATTCTTTTTCTATTTTGCATTTGAAAGTGGTTATATTTATTTGTTTGAATATGTTTTTAAACACTATCAACCCAATTTTCTCATAAACAATTCATAACATGTTGAACAGACTTCAGTGCCTAGTTCCTCTAGTCTCTCAAACATCTGAACAACAGACAATAGATCAATATAATAATAATAATAATAATAATAATAATAATAATAATAATAATAAAGATCATTTCTATAGCGCCCACTCCCATGTAAACACAGCTCTAGGCGCTTTACACAAATGCATGTACGAACAATATTCATGCACGCGACACACACACACACACACACACAAATACACACACTCATACACACACAAACACACACACATATACCCATACACACACACAAACACACACATACACACTCACGAACACATAACACGCACACATGTGCACACACATGTATGCCAAACACACACACACTCACACACACACACGCACACACATCTACTTGCTTATCACACGCACACGCTTACAGATCGTCACTAAATGAGCATAAAATAATATATACACTGCAATTCACAAAATACATAAATGGATACATAGTCATTTACATAACATTGTATTGAACATGAATCTACTGACATAAAAAGGATGTCATTAAACGTGTCTTTAAAGATTTTTAAAATTTAGACTCAGATGTTGTATGTCTCAAGGGTTGGGGAAGAGAGTTCCAACCTGACGGAGCAAGGTGGGCGAACAATCTTTCAGCTAATTTTTTACCCCCTTTTCTAGGAACTCTTAAAAGATACTGATCGCCTGATCTTAGTGATCAATATGGAACATAAATCTGGATGAGATCACTAAGATATGAGGGAGCTTTGTTATTGACACATTTATGACAAAATATTGCAATTTTATATAACATTCTGGCTGAGAAGGGAAGCCAATGCAACGTTCTTAACATGGGAGTAATGTGGTCCCTCTTCCTTTTCTTTAGTACAAGCCTAGCAGCATATCGCGAAGCACTTGTATAAAATAAGTCTTACCAAAAAAAACCTAATTAGAATTTAGCAAGCCATGCTCAAGGATACGCTCCTTGACTGAAGAGAACTTTACACTGGACATTTTCTCAACACCAAGATCAATGATGCCAGCTGTGATACCCGTGATAACTCCAATGAGAAAACAAATGAACCAGCGCCGTATGCCCCTCCAGTACAGTTTCTGGGGACAAAAGACATGACATATTGAAAAAAAATATACCTAATTGTCTATATTTCCACTAAATAGCTGATATGCACAGTAGCTATCATGTGGATGTACTTGCTACAGGTAAAGGGGAAGAGAGTAGGAGGAAATGATAGATTCTCAAATTATCAATGAATGGAAAAAAGTATAAGTGAGATTAAGGGGTTTACAACCTTAATGTAAGGAAGGAAAATATAAAAGGGAATTATAGCTTCATGTGAGAAAGACCACAAAAAGGTACTGAAACCTCCACAATGTCAAAATCCACAAAGGAAAAGAAAGGAAAAGATAGTGAGTTTGATTTGTTCTGCTTGTTCAAGTAGAATCTACCAGTAACGCCTGCCAACCACCCTAAAGGTGTTTGCAAAAAGAGTTCTCAAGAGAAGACAAACAGACAAAAACAACAGAAAGATAGATAAAATGCTTGTTCTTTATTCAGGACCAAACAATCCTATTCAGAAACCATTTACTGCCAAATCTCCTTCTATTAAAACTATATGACAATCTTACTGCTTGGTTGCAAACGACCATCAGCTTATATTGCTGTTCCTAGCTCGTAAAATTTGGGAGCATGACACAACTGAATATGTCACAGAAAAGAAAATGAACCCTCACATTTCCACAACCGATTACAAAGTTCTTGATAACGGCAAAATTATAACCTTGCTATAAACTAAAACCCTAACCAGTTTGCCTGTCTTAAAATATAAATAGACCCAGAAGTGACATACTAGTGATTATATGGGGCAAGGATAACATGAAAAATTAACCTCTGAAAAGCATTTATTTTTTTGCTGGACACAGGGCAACCTGGCATCAGTTCACAATAAATACAGTATAAGCATTAGCTTACCCATCTCTTGGAACTTTTGTCTTTTTCCTCTTTCTGGTACAGGAGATTGTCAGACACCTCATAGTCCAAGCTCTGCGGAACAATTAAAAAGAAAAGGTAAAATAAAGTACCGTAATGCACTACACAAATGTTAAAATGGAGATGAACTAAGCTGAGAGACAGACTTGGAACAGTTCACTATTATGCCTTCAGTGACACAGTACTGCAAACTCATTTGGTCTTTTTCATCATTACGCAACACTGACAAACAACACATTACCCTTTTTCACACTTACTTGATAAAAAAATCAACCAGTATTAGCTAGACAACTGTACACCAGACAAAAACACGATCTTACACAACCCTTGCCCTTGTAAACTGTATTCACACACAATACAAAGACATGCCTCTACCCCCCCCCCCCCTCCACAAAAAGGAGGTATTGTCTATACATTTACCATTGAGTAATATACTAACAAGACCACTCCTCACTCACCTCAAAGTCAGCCCGAAGGGCGTCATGGTCTTCCTCCAGTACAATGTCCTTGTCATCTGCTGATTCGTAATTTTGATGGCGCGCTGATCGAGTCGCAGAAAATGTATCGCTTGAGACAACGACTGACTCATGTGTCTCGTTCCAGCTGTTGACCTGATAAAAACATGTTTTTGAAAAATGAAGTTTACAACAGTATTTGGTCAAACAGAAATCACTTCTTTTTAATATTGTTGAAATTTGATTAATTAAGAGCAGAAATTATTCTAATGTGAAAGCAGGCACATCTATTTTATTATCGACAGGTACGTGGGGAGTCCATCCTACTCTTATTGATATTGAGAAGGATAGAACATAATCAGCAAAGTCCTTATCAGCTTCCGACACAAGAAATGATAGCTGGAAAAAAAAAAACAGAATGGAATATATACTTTGAGATACCATGTGATATTTTTCTCAACCCTCTAAAAAGAAAGGCCAAAGAAGGAGAAAAAAAAAATAGTCGAACCTGTCCTGACGGCCATATCTATAAGACGGCCACTTTCTATTCCGCCCCCCCCCCCTTTGCGTTTTTTCTACATAATTTAACTGTGTAAAACGGGCACCTGTCCAACGCGGCCGCGGTCACCATATTTTAACACACAACTCCTATCAAACTAAGTAATAACACCCATCTTAGACGGCCACCTTAGACTTAGTGACTCCATTACATTTTGTCATAAATTGTGCATTGGCCCCTGTCGTTGTGGGCGAGCCTTCATAATCCAATCACTTGTCGTTGTTGTTAAGTAGTCCCTCCAGCTGATCATGTTGCGCAGTCCCCTCCCAATAGGTACCAAACCGCCCAGAACTCCTACACAAATCGTAAGTGAGATGAGTAGTCACTGTTTACCCAGTCTGCAACAAAGTAACAATGGACATCAACATGAACTTGCGACAAAAGCGTCGTACAAGAAACAAAATACAAACCACCACCACCAACAACAACAATGCGGTTATTTCGATTGGGACTTCAGACGGGAATGGTTTGTTTTCTTCATCTTGATTAGTCATGTCTTATATGGCCACTTTTTTCCTTGACAATGGGTGGCCGTCTTACACAGGTTTGACTGTATAACTTTATATCACTTTCATTAAACGTTTAAATTGTACACCCTTCGCACTCTTCTAATAAGAAATGAATAATGTAAAAAAAAAATTCAAAATTCATACTACACTACAACAAGCAATGTTGTTCTGGATGTCAGATTGAATTCCTCTTTATTTTCAGCCACATTGAAAACTCCTGATCTTCTGCAAGCCGCTGGCAGTGGCTCAGTCGCATTCCTTTACAACAATGATGGTATTAATATTCAACAATTTTCCTAAACAGGCCTCTCTAATCGAGAGTTCTTTCAATAGATGAAAACCTATCAAAACAGGTTCATTTCTTTTGATTTAATGCAATTATTTAGTGATCTGTATGTCACTTTCAGGTTTCATACCAAAAGAGGGCCCTAGTAATGATGATGCTGCAGTGGTGGTGGAAAGACCCTGAGTGGTCGGTTACTGTGACACTGCCATGGGGTAATGAGAGTGCAGTCTTTCAACTTTTGACACAATTTCACGTACAGTCCTAGTCAGTAATTCTAGATCTAGATTTAATTTTGGTTTTACTTAAAATCCCAAGACGACAGTTATATTATAAAATGAGGGAAGGACTTCCGTAACGAGCGACCACTATGAGACAGAGTAGATTAGGGGTAGGGTTAGGGGTAGGGTAAGATTAGGGATAGGGTTAGTGTTAGGGGTAGAGGTAGAGGTAGGGTTAGGGGAGTTAGGTCCATTCATTATTGTGTTTGTTTGGGTGGTCGCTCGTTACAGAAGTCCTTCCTAAAATGATAATTATGTAACCTCTTTCACTAACATAACTCACTTAGAAGCTGAGTCCGAAAAATAAAACATTTTTTCAGACCCGAGTCCGAATAGATAAAACCCATATTCGGACTAATGTCCGAATAGATAGGAAATCTAATCGGACTTCAGTCCGAATGGAGCTGGCCTTTAAAAATATTTTATGGTTTTTAATATCAGGCTATATCACGGTAGAAGCCTATCGGCCTAGTAATTTGCGCGCTTAGGACCACATCTGTGTTAACCCATAATCATCATAATTTGATATTTTGCAGTTAGGTGGCTACAACTGATCTCTGTCTCTATCTCTCTCTCTCTTTGTCTGTCTGTCTGTCTGTCTGTCCCTCCCTCCCTCTCTCTTTCTCTGTCTGTTTGTTCCCCCCTCCCTCTCTCTCTCTTTCTTTCTCTATCTGTCCCTCCCTCCCTCTCTCTTTCTCTGTCTATCAGTCCCTCCCTCCCTCCCTCCCTCCCTCCCTCCCTCTCTCTCTCTCTCTCTCTCTCTCTCTCTCTCTCTCTCTCTCTCTCTCTCTCTCTCTCTCTCTGTTTCCATTGTGATCTTAAATCAACACAATATCGTTGTCTCTGAGGAGGCATGTTAATAAAAATCTTTTGAGGATTTACGCGCTCCTGTCACAACATGTATCATTTCAAACCAATAGAATTCCAAGGCTAATGCATAAGTAGCAAACGCAACATTTTCATCATTCAGTAATACTAACGTACGCTTATACTACCAAGAAGTGAAGTGAATGAAGGACACTGAACTACGAATATTCGCAATTTTCTACCCTACCTTTAAAGAATTTGTGTCAAGTATCAAGCAAGTGAAGTGTAATCGGTAAGAAGATTGTTTCCTTTTATTATACAATTCATATCTTGGTTTTCATTGAGATAGTTCTGTCCTTTGCCTTTAGGACTGGGCTCATTTTTTTAAAACTATCTTTAGCCATTGCAATTCTTCGTTTTATTTTTATTGCGCATTTGCCATCATATGTAATGATATATCCTAGATATTTCTCTCTCTCTTAATATAGTGTAAAGCGCATAGAGCCTGCTGTTGAGCGGGGATATGCGCTATAAAAATGCTATCTATTATTATTATTATTATTATATTTAAACTGTTGTACTTGCTTGATTTTTTCCCTTTTGCCAACGAGGTTAAAAATTTAAAAATAGGATTGATTGTTGTTGTTTTTTTTATATACAACCATACATTCTGTTTTCTTTGCAGATTTAACAACAACCTGTTATGTTCACTTTCAGTCACAACTGTATCTAGAAGCATTTGAAGGTCCCTTTCTGAACTAACAATTAAGATTGTGTCGCCTGCGTATCTAATATTATTAATATTTTCTCCATTTACTTTGAGGCCTGGATATTCTTCTTTGTTTCCAAAAATTGTTTCACCGTATATATTGAGATCTGGTGACATAACTCTACCCTGCCTTACTCCTCTTTTAATCTGCTTATATTCGCTATGCTCACCTTCGATTCATTTTTGCAGGTCCACAAGTTCATTTAAGTATCTCGCCCCGAACCTGACAGTGGCAAAGATGTTCGAATTAAATGAACATGAGAACGGGAAGACCACCCCAAAGACCTATGCTCTTTTAATCTGCTTATATTCGCTATGCTCACCTTCGATTCATTTTTGCAGGTCCACAAGTTCATTTAAGTATCTCGCCCCGAACCTGACAGTGGCAAAGATGTTCGAATTAAATGAACATGAGAACGGGAAGACCACCCCAAAGACCTATGCATATTATCACACGGTGTTTCACACTATGACGCTGCGCTTCCACCTTCCAAAAAAAGATCTGTGTAGAATTTGTGAAACGAAGAACAACGGTTCCAACAACACCGATGGATTTCTTCAAGAATATGCCATACACATCTTGGAAAAGGACGAGGTAAGAGCAGTTCTTAAAGCTTGCACAGAAGAGTCTGCAGCAAACCCTAAAGTGGTCATTGCTTCTTTTGGCTTCTTTTCATCCTGTGCAGACAAATTTCTTCGTCTCCTTGACTCTAGAGGTGCTGCCCATGTTAACTTTTTGTCAGATGGATGCGCAGGCCAAAATAAAAATTCCATTGTGCCATCCATGTAAGGCACTTCCTGAAGTCCTCAACAAACATCCAAAGATTACGCCATTACTTTTTTAAAACCAACCATGGCCAGAGTTCCGGCGATTCTATACACAGCGTTGTTGAACTTGCGATGAAAAGGGTGCCAGAGACCATCGTTCCAGACAGGCTTAAGGGGGTCATCGACACAGCATGCAAAAAGAAGCCTTACATAACAACAGCACTTTCGACTGGAGACATACTTGATTTCAAGTCGAAGGCTGCCTCTTCTTTCATCCTCAGAGTGAGAACCTCTGACAATGGCAACATTCTAAAGGGGATGGATTTCATGGAACTAGAAGTCAGGAAGTCTGAGCCATGGACCATTCGTTTTAAGACATCTCATCAGCAACAAGAATGGGATTCTCTCACCATCTGCTGTAGAGCTGCAGTCAATTAAAACCTGCTCAACGAAGCTTAGAACAGCCAAAGCTCTCCAAAGGAAAATATGGTGACCTGAAGGCCCTGTACAATGAAAAAAACCCAGTAATCCGTCACCCTGACCACAAGATTTGCCTCATTATTAGGCACTATTCTAAGATGCAAACTGATCGACAGTTAATTCAATGCTAATGCCCAGCACTGTAAAAAAACAAAAAAAAGGTTACTTGATGCATTTTCTAATTATCGATTGACTCATTATCACTAGCGAGAGAGAGAGAGAGAGAGAGAGAGAGAGAGAGAGAGAGAGAGAGAGAGAGACAGAGAGACAGAGAGAGAGAGAGAGAGAGAGAGAGAGAGAGACAGAGAGAGAGAGAGAGAGAGAGACAGAGAGAGAGAGAGAGAGAGAGAGGGGGCGATTGCGTCGGAATTTGCTTTTGTTGCTCCCAAATATTTATTAATGTCATTTTGCAATTTGCTGAAGAAACATGTTAAAATACATTTAAACAATTGCTTTAGTTTTATATTTACTCATGTTGATGTTGTTCAGTATTGACATTGTTTTTTAGCTGTCCAAAATATGAATTTCACAATGCAAATAAAGATAGAATCAGTAAAGATCAAACTGATCTGGGGGGGGGGTTTTCCTCACATAGTTTTGTAGTTGTGTTTCTACCGCTACAAATAAGTACCCAAACAGCATTTAAGATAGGTCTCATTTCATTGAACGCTTCATGCTGAAATAAGAACTTTAAAAAATTGCTGCAAATCAACAGAAAACTTTAAAGCGGTCTAACTCGAAACTGTGTTCCCGGCCAGCTCGCACGATTCGTTAGTAAGGCATTGATACGACGATGTGTGTGATCTGAAGTACACAATACAGCAACTTGACCCTAAAGTGGCCAAAGCAGTGTATGAGAGTGAAAATAAAAATGTAGGAGGACTTCCGTAACGAGCGATGACTGTAATACAGAGTATAACAGAGGGGTAGGGGTAGGGCACCTTAGGGGACGGGAAGGGTTAGGGTTTACCTGGGGTAGTGGTAGGTCTCTATTCTTTATGGAAGAGGCTAGCCATACTTAATGACTTAAGTACGGCTAGACTGGTTGGCTAGCCGTACTAGACAGCTGGGCTAGCCGTACTTATTCTTAATATGATGGCTAGACTGACCATAAAAAAAATAGGCCTACTGAATTGTAAATATAAATTTTTAGTTTTGCAGTACCTAAAGTATTTGTATTTGAGACGAAACCACGTGCCTTAATGACAATGCATGTATTTTTTAAAACCTCCTGTTTTCTAATGTTAATAGAGCCTAAGATAAGTACGGCTAGACTTCTTGGCTAGCCGTATTTAAGTACGGGTAGACTGTCAGGTTAGCCGTACTTAATATTGATGGCTGAATTGTAAATGAAATTTGGTAGTGTCAATTGCCACCGAGTGATGCGGTGGCAATTGACAAAAATTGACTTTTTGTCAAATACCACCGAGTAAACTGAAGCTCTTTTGCGTTGGTGGGTAGATCTAGCTTATTGTGCTCGAGTGCTCGCCTCTCCTCTGTCCGTCTGTGTGTGTGTGTGTGTGTGTGTGTGTGTGTGTGTGTGTGTGTGTGTGTGTGAGGGTTGGGTTGATTTAAATCAGTTGATTTCAGTTTGTGTGCGTTTGTGACCTAGCTACTTCTAGAATTGCCTGTGTTGGTTCTACACCAAAGTGTAGGATAAGGCTAGCCTAGAGATCTAGGCCTACGTCTCATTGAAAAAACGCCAAGTTGGTACCGTAGCTCTAGACTAGATGCTCGTCCAATGAAATTAGTTGAGAACAAATTGACCCATTAGACACACATTATGTATAATGCTAAAGATAGTGTGGTATTTTTTTATTTTCCCTCCCGTCTCACACTCAGCTACCAGTCGTCTATTTTCTACTAAATATTGATGCGCTGAACACGAATATCAACTTCATTTCCGTCGCAAATTAATAGTTTTTGAAATATTTGATTGTTTTTAACCGAGATAGACATGCTTTGGACCAATCGGGGGGTTCCAGGGGGGCCTGCCCCACTGGGGTAAAAGAAAATCTGGGGGGTTACAGGGGGGCATGCCCCCCTGTTTTTACACCCATAATTTGATATTTTACAGTTAGATTTGAAATTGTCTTGAAAATAATTGATTTGCGACAGTTTTAGTGGCTTTATGTGTGATCTGCAGCAAACAGTACAGCAGTTTGACCCCTGAAACAGTGCATCTGTGTGCGGGAGTGAAAGTAAACATTTACCGATAGTGTTGTTTTCAGACTTGATACCACTTCACTCGGTGGCAATTGACAAAAAGTCAATTTTTGTCAATTGCCACCGCGTCACTCGGTGGCAATTGACGCTACCATGAAATTTTTAGTTTGCAATGCCTAAAGTAAGAAAGTGGCTATTCTCACCCGCCCGGAAGTTCTCGCAAGATCAACTCCTCCCCTCTTCTCTCTCTCTCCGTCTCTTTCTGAATACTGTCTATCGGTGTGGACGATCAAATTGACCAAAACAAAGTTAAAAAATGATGTTAAAACACAAAAGTAAATAAATTTGGTTGTCTACAAAGATGCTACGGCTATTTAACTTTTCGAATCGAGCCGAACTACGCGGGTCGCCATTTTGTTTTGCCCGGAAATTCTCGCGCTACTCCTCTCTCTCTTTCTCTCTCTCTCTCCACTGCCCACAGACAAAATTGTACGCTTTTAGTAGGCTACAATTGTAATGGAACGTTTGTTCACGGCACAGAATTCTACAATTTTTCTGTTATCACAGTGTAGAATTCTGTGGTTTAGGGTGAACGCAAAATTTGGTGAACGCGCACCGGGTGAGAATAGCCATAAGACTCGCCTGCACTATTCTCACTCCGGGTGAGAATAGAGGTGGCCCTAAAGTATTTGTATTTCAGACAAAACCAAGGTGCCTTGCTGACTTGCATGTATTTGAACCTGAATAATTAATAGATCTAGATCTAGACTCTAGATCTAATGAGACCTGTGTACTTAAGTTGACTTAACAGGATTGAGTAGATACGGCCAAACCTAGATCTAAGTACGGCTAGACTGGCAGTCTAGGCCAGGCCAAGGGCTTCTAGCCCCTTCGATTCTTTATTGTGTTTGTTGGGGTCATGGTCGCTCGTTAAGGAAGTCCTTTCAAAAATTTACCTGAATCAAAAGTTAATTTTTGGGGGGTATGATTCATGATCAATAAATCTAATCAATAGCCAATATAATAATAAATAATTTGTCAGTTTTGCAATTTCCTGTTACACTTTTTAGTTTTAGTGGCCACTGAGAAAATTTAAGCTCCTAATCAAAAGTCTTTCCTTTACAAAATGGAATTGCACAGCTGAAGTACAAAAAATAACAAGCATGACCGTAAGGCATCATTTAAATCTCAAAAACAAAATTGACCTGAGGCTGTGAAGGTGCTGGACTCGATGATGATGCTTCGTCCTCTGCACGCCATCTCCCTCTGTTGTAAATCCTTTCACCGTACTGGGCGGAATCAGGGCGGTTCCTTAAAAGTGGAGTGTATTCATTTTGAGCCATTTGTCTACTGGACTTTCGGGAAAAGTTTTTATAGAAGTCAAGAAACCAGCTGCCTCAAAGCAGAATAGGGGCAATATTCATGTCCACAGTTTTCAAGTATAACCACTACAAAACCAGAATGCAGTCTCTTCTTCCGCGTGACAGACAAGAACTGACTGACAGTGACTGAAATGTTGTTGTGGTGCTTTAAGTCACGTGATAAAATATCACGTGACTTTTGGTTGACTATTTGTACAAAACGGTTTGATGAGATCATAAATGGTAATGACAAGAATGCAAATTAGGGCTACGTACGTGTTCACGTAACATGAGCATTAAGTCTAACTTTACCGACAAATTGTGTATATGAGCAATTAATTTTTTATTGGAGGAGGGTAAAAAAAATTTTTACCCGGAAAAGCAATTAGGCTAAATTTAGTTTATTATAGAATAATAAATAGTTAAATAGTAGCCTGTTGGTACACATTTCACTGAAAGACAAGAAAACCAAGACTATGAAGTATACCCGATAGGGCCTGTTGTTTATTATGTGTTATTTTTAAACTATAGATCACATCGTCTATTTTATACTAGATCTAGATCTATCTATTAATATGTACATGTATAACTCACTCATAATGACATATAATATT